TTTACACGGACGCCATGCATTATGACAAAAAAGTTTCACCGAGTCATCAGAAATTCAAGGGTCCTCCTTTATCTCACCCCAACTTTTATTTTCTGCCATTTCGTCATCGAGGCTTGAACCCTTTTATTTTTCCACTTTTCCACTTACTCTAATCTGAGACGCTACGTCGTTGAACCGTTCAACCTACAGCATGACCAAGATTACCTATGACCAGATGGCTGACCAGATAGCCATGCCACACGTGTAACTCCATGTCCGTACATAACATTCACGAGGCTCAATGGGCTGTTTTCCGAGCTCTAAGCATCTGTTCAATTATCATCCAACATGCTATTTGTTTGGTGCTATATTAGACAAGTGGGAACCGTAACAGTAGTTCCTTGATGATGAAGCAAGCCTGTGTATACATATTATGTCCGCCTCCATATATCCCGCCCCTTCACCCCTTGCCGCCGTCGCAAAGTAGCGCCATTGAATCCGCAGATCATTACCTCACGCGACAATTTCTCTTGCCCTATTAGGGACCAGAAACTCCCGTAGTGTCGTCCCTCTATGTCACTTAATACCCCCCGAAATCTATCAGCTTTCTACAGTGCCCTTTCATCCTTTAAAGTACCTTGTCCTGCACGAGACACCCACTCCCAAGTCAAGCCCGGGTCACTCGCCTTGCTCCAGTCAGGCAACCCGAGAACGTCCTAATCTCCGTACCTACCTACAATACCTTGCCTGCGTACAGCCCACTACTACACCAAACAGAACAGAGCGCTCTTTCGTCCTATTTTCCGCACCAAGTTTGCGTCTACTAGCTCCAGTATAGGGAGATCGTCGGTGGTCCAGGCCTTATTATCCCACGCACAAGCTCGCTCGCGCACACACCATCAACCTTTAAACCGGGCCACACAAAAAAGCAAAGGCGGTCCCTGAAGCCCGAAAAGGAGCGGCAGGAGTAAAGACCCTTCTTCTTCCTCCCGTCTCCCCCCCCCACCCATTCTTCTTTCGGTGTTTTCGTTGCTACCGCCATTCGAATAGAGCTGGGCTCCGTGTCTGTCCGTCGTCGTCGCCCTCCACTCGTATTGTACGCTTGTGCTCTGCCTCTGGTTGCTACCGCTTTCGACAGCCTTCTGTCTTACACTTGATTTTGACCGTAATCCAGCTTCTCCTTTGCCACGCCTCAGCCACACAACGCAGAGACATAGGGATAGAAAGATATATATGCCATCGCCGTGGCATTCTTTGCAAAACCTAATAATCCCTAAACATAAATAATCACTCGTCCTACTTTCGCTCGTCATGTCGAGTTTATGAGGTGGGAGGAGAAGTGAAATGGGAAGCAAAGGCTGGACTCAGAAACGACGTCATACGCAAACCGAAAATGAAAATGAAAATGGCCACGGAGATGACGAATAACAACGACCGTTCGGCAACCACTCACCATTACACCATGAAGACTTCCTCGAGGCCTCCTATTGTCTCAGCACATTCCCGACATTCTCAATCAAATATGCAGTCATTCCGCACGAATAGGACAACCACGCCCCTGGCCTCTCCTCGCATGCCTCATTCCGTCGGTCAACCCTACCCGCCCAGTACCAAGCTGTCTCCCGTTATTACGGACGTTCGATCACCTAGTCCTAATTATTTCGGCCTCAACCTTGACCATTCCGCCACTGACGTGAGAGACTCGGCCGCTGCACCTCTCGACCACTGGAGTCCGCCGAGCTCGTCCATAAAGTCGTTTGGCGCCGCAATTCCAAAGCAAATACCACTCGATGCAAACCCGGACTTTGAAGCGTTTAGACGTCAAGTTGATGCCAACCGATCAACGGGGTTTAGCCTGGGAAGTGCTCATTTTGCACCTGCTCACTCCCCCTTCGCAGCGAGGCCTAAACCGCTGCGATTGCCTACCAATCACAGCGATACCGCCTCGGATCTGTCTAGCGCTAGATCTTCTAATGGTAGGGCTATAGATGGCGCAGGCAGCCGTATGGATGTGGATGCGGAAAGTCTACACGACTCGGCGTATGTATCGTCAGACTCGAAGAGGAACTCCGAGGTTTCGCTGAACCCTCCATCATTTAGTAACGGGCCCCGTTTTGAGTCTCCTTCTCATGCCGACTCTCCGTTTGAGCCCCTTCGCCGGACGACCTTGTCTAAGGTGGAAGACCGGCATCCACGGCTATCGCTGCCTCAGGAAAAGATGAGCCAGTCGATTGAAATCTCCAAGCCTCGTGCTGAGACTCTACCGACGACGCTCGAAAGTGGGCCTGGACTCATTATGCCGAGCCATCTTAAGGATATGCTCCAGAAAATGCCCGAGAACGAGTTCCTCTTGTTGGATGTCCGTGTGTCTACTCACTACGCCCAGTCACGAATCCGTGGTGCATTAAACCTCTGTATTCCAACGACTCTGTTGAGGCGCGCCACGTTTAATCTGGAGAAGTTACAGCAGACTCTTCAGACCGAAGAAGACCAGCACAAATTTGCGCAGTGGTCACATGTCAAATATCTCGTCGTGTACGACAGCTCCTCAACGGAGAAGCGGGATGCTGTCTCGGCTATGAACATGTTCAAGAAATTCTCAAACGAGGGCTTCTCCGGGAACCCTTTACTCTTGAGAGGAGGATTCAACTCCTTCGCCGCCGAGTATCCCTCGTATGTCGATCACCAGTCAGTCTCAGAACGGCCCGGTACTTCAGTCAGCGCACCGAACGGTGGACGACCAAGCTTTGCCCCTGTGATAGGTGGTGTAATGCTCCCATCTGGAGCCAACAATCCTAATCCATTTTTCAGTAATATTCGGCAGAACATGGACTTGGCGGACGGCGTTGGACAGATGGACATCGCTGTACCCTCTAATTTAGACCCCAACATACTTCCTCATTGGCTTCGGGACGTTACGATGCAATCAGATCACGGCAAGAAAGCCTCTGAACGGTTTCTTAAAATCGAGCGTAGCGAGCAGTCTCGCATGAAGGAAGCCTACGCATCCTTCAATGCTGCTACACCTCCCAGCGCCGACTCCGGAAAAATCCGCTTGTCCGGAGTGGAACAAGGTGTCAAGAACCGTTATAAAGACATCCTACCATTCGAGCATGCTCGTGTGCGTTTGAATAGAGAAGCTCGTAATGCTTGTGACTATATCAACGCCAGCCACGTTCAAGCTTCGCGTAGCTATAAGCGTTATATCGCGTCGCAGGGTCCTCTGCCAGCCACTTTTGATGTAAGTTAAGCCTATGTTCAAGTCGTATCTTGGTCCTTTGAAACTAACCCATGTTCTAGGATTTCTGGTCGGTGATATGGGATCAAGATGTCCGTGTTATTGTTATGTTGACCGCCGAATCCGAAGGCGGCCAGCTTAAATGCCATCCGTACTGGCAGAACAAGGAATTTGGGTCCATCAAGCTGAGGCCGCTGTCTGAGAAGAAAGTGTCACTCGATATCGACAAGCATCGTTCACCTGCAGCGTCAGCCGCCGGTAATACGTCAGAAAACGGGCGACGTCGTGCAAATACTACGACTACTTTAGAGTCTGCCCAGAACATCCAGCCTCCGCAGGCTCAGTCTGAGACTCCGTATGTCATTGTTCGGAAATTTGCGCTCTCACACGCCGCTCACCCGTTCTCCCCTATACGTGAAATCACCCAACTGCAGTACCCGTCGTGGCCCGACTTTGGTGCACCTGCACAGCCCTCGCATCTTCTAGCGCTGGTCGAATTAGCGAACGTGATGCAACGATCTGCCTTACCAGTCGACGCGAACACCATCGCTGCATCGGTTGCCACCGAGAACCCTGCAGCTATGAACTGGTATGAGGACCCAGAATCTGATACGGAGGCTAGACCAATGCTCGTTCACTGCTCCGCCGGGTGTGGCCGCACGGGCACGTTCTGCACTGTCGACAGCGTGATCGACATGCTGAAGCGACAACGATTAATTGCGGCTAAGCGCTCAGACGAAGATGGCGACGTGTATATGAAGGACAGCTCATCTGTCCGCCGTCGGAGCGCTGCCCCTACCAGCATCAAGCTAAGGCAGACGGAAGAGGGAAAGAAGGAAATAGAAGCCGGTTGGCTCGATGATACCAACCTTGACCTGGTTGAGACGACAGTGGAAGATTTCAGAAGACAAAGACTGAGTATGGTCCAAAGCTTGCGGCAATTCGTTCTCTGCTACGAGACTGTCACAGAATGGGTCTGGAGACTACAGGAAAAGAACAACAGCATGAGCGGCGGCAGGAGTCGACCACGGAGCGAGATACTCGAAACTCGAAGGTGACAACGAAGCGGAACGGCAGCACGTCCTATAATGAACATGGGTTCGAGCTCGACGCCGATTTGCAAAATGAGATTGGGAAGAGAGGGGGTTAAAAAAGGGGGCCGAGACAAACTGCATACACTCGCATTTGCATTGACACAGCATTCTGACACGGTTATCGGAAAGGTCCACATCCAAGGGCTAGATGGTTTATTATAACCGGGCAAGGTGGACATCAAGGGTGTTTAAAGGGATTCAGGGTAAACTATAGGCGTTTTTTTTTTCTGGGTTCGCACGGCATGGCATATTTTTGAATTTTTATTTCCGAGCGATACGAGAGCATTGCAACAACCGGATCGTAGAGGAGGGATCGGGGAATGGAAGACCCAAGGGGGGGGGGGGGGGCTTATGAGAATTACTCGTCGGCAAAAAAACACGTCGACTAGATGGATTTGTACAGTACGGACAATAAGAGAAGGGCGCTGCTTGGGCGAAACAGTACGATGGCAAGCACTGAACAGGTACATACAGCCTACTTGCCGATACGGAACAGAGATAGATGCAATCAACACAATGCATTTGAACTGCTTTGCTTCTCGAAACTATATGATGTGATCTGTTATGTTGTGTTTGTTACCTGGCTTCCCTTCCGCTCCCTAATCGTCCGGCGTGTGCTAGCAAAGAGCCTTAAAATCAGATGTTGGAGCTCGTCTATCATGAAGCAAACTGCTCAATCAGCCATCGAAGGGCGTGTAACTCAGTGGTAGAGTGCTCGCTTTGCATGCGAGAAGTCCAGGGTTCAAACCCCTGCTCGTCCAATTCTTTTTTTTTTTCTTTCTTCGCCTTGACCTTCGTCGTTGATAACCATACGCTCTACAGGAGGCTATTCTCAACGCTACCGTCTTCGTAGATAGCCTAGTAAAAATAAATAAGTAATAGGTAATTGTAAAATCTATAAGCTCGACGAATATACAATATAGCTTTTAGATGTTCTATGATCTAGTTGTACGTGTAAGTATGCATCTGCTAGTCGATATCCTGGGCTGGTGATTTATACCAAATATTCACGTAATACCGATTTGTCCCTGATCATCGCAAGCACGATGATAAACGGTAGCCTACCCAATTATAATCATTAGGCACGAAGGTCGATCACAGTTAGATAACCCCAACAAATCATCTTATAATAGCAAGCAAGATCTTTGATTTAGACGTTGCTTTTCTCTATCTCTAGGATAGGTATTGTACACTTTACAACATAGTATCTTGGCATCGGCCGAGTCGTCCACGGTGACTGGCGAAGCCGAACTTTGTAATAGTAAGAGGGTAGTAATAACGCAGCAGCACACTGCGGTTGCGAGCGTCTCCAACCCCCCAGCAGTCCGCCAGCTTATTTCCAGAATTTCTGGAGCGAGACCTCCTTGTCATCATGCTTGTTGAGAATCTTGGCCGTGGCCAGCTCAAAGTCTTCCTGCGTAACGTGAACTCTCCTTTCACGGAGGGCGTACATGCCAGCCTCAGTACACACACCCTTCAACTCGGCACCGGAGCAGCCGTTCATCTTCTCGGCGATCTTGGTCAGGTTAATTCCCCTGGTAAGATTCATCTTCCGGCTGTGGATGCGCAGAATGTCAGCTCTGGCTTCGACGGACGGCGGGGGGAACTCGATTTTTCGATCGATACGGCCAGGTCGGAGAAGGGCAGGGTCTAAGATGTCAAGTCGGTTCGTGGCCATAATGACCTTGATGTTCTTGGTGGGCTCAAACCCATCTAGCTGGTTGAGAAGCTCCAACATAGTCCGTTGTACTTCGGAGTCACCGCCCGATGAACCTTCTACTCGTGATGAACCGATCGAATCGATTTCGTCCATGAAGATGATCGAGGGGGCGTGTTCTCGGGCCATTACGAACAACTCGCGAACCATACGGGAACCTTCTCCGATGTACTTCTGCACAAGTTCTGAACCGGAAACTCGGATGAACTTGCAGTCCGTGTGGTGGGCAACGGCTCGAGCCAGCAGCGTCTTTCCGGTTCCGGGAGGACCGTACAGAAGTACACCCTTCGGTTGAGCGATGCCGAGGGATTCAAAGAGTTCGGGGTGCTTCAAGCCCAGTTCGATGACCTCTTTGATTTCCTTGATCTGCTGATCCAAACCACCAATCATATCGTATGTGCTGTCGGGCACCTTTTCTACCATCATGAGGGATACGAGAGGGTCGACGGAAGACGGGAGAATCTTCTCAAGCTTATACGAGTCAGAGAGGAGCGTTACCCGTTTGCCTACGGTAAGCTTGGCTATATCGACCGAGTCCGATACATCGACAACTGCGAATAGTAAGTTACTGCAAGTATCTCAGGCAATCATGGATGTTTGGGTACGCACCATATTTGCCTTCCGGATGTACCTTGACCAAGACCTTCTTCGTTCCCATCACTTTTACTACCTCACCCACGTACGACCCAGGTTGCTGCAGAAGACCTAGCTCTTCTCGCAGTAACCGCACTCTGGAATTGTAATCATTGCGTTGAGCTTCTAGACGTCGAAGAACAGCTTGACCCTTGAGGATCTCGAGCTTCATAGCCTCGATCTTGTTGTGGTAGTAGTTGTCGAGCGCCATGGCTGCTTGGGCTCTTTCGAGAGGGAAATGGGATTGATCCAATGCGTCGCAGGTCGGGCGTGATTAAGATTATCGAGGAGGATGGATGAAAAATATCGTGCGACAACTCGGAAGTGGACAGCAAATGATGGATGGTAGTAAGTTGGTAGGCAGACTGATGATGAGGCTAAAAGATGCGCCAATGATGGCCCCGGCACAAGGGTACCTAAGGTTCAAGCTCGAAACCGACGGCAGGCAGTTGCACTAACGCGTTCCGGAGCAACGGCAATACTGAAATTCCGATATTGCAGCTGTACCACATTTAAAGTGGACCTCAGTGGGAACAGATGCCAAGCAAGTTGCATTAACTTCGTCTGATAAGCATGATGTATGCACGCATCAATTACGTAGCACTTCGGAGAGCTTCGAGTATGTACATTTTAAGCACGAATGAACAAACAATTCAAACCTTGCCTAGGTACTTCAAATTCTATAATTTCTTCTACACCTTCTTACCTACCAGGTAGTAATATTTCTACCTGGTAAAGTAGTCGATAACGCAGTTGCAATTCCGAATGTTTCTCGACAGGCGCGGCTGTCCACAAAGCCCATATCACACTAGCAGGGATTCGGTCAATGTTGCAGCGCCAACCTCCATCTTGGGTGGAAATAACACATTTTATACGCCATAGACCCCCAATAGCTCCCTGTAGCTGCCCTGCAACTTCCCTGTAAACCTGTAGGTAATCTGGTAATCAAGCCTTCTCCAGGCGGGATCAGTCGACAAGGATGCGCTAAACATTGTCCACTCACACTGTAAATAATCACGAGGAAGAATCACGACTCGGGAGTGGATTAGGACCTCATTCCATCTCCAGTATTAACTGCTTTCTAGCGTCGCTCCCCGACGCATGTGCTACTTTCGCGATAGTCATGCCCGATGCCATGCGTGAGATCTGACAGTTCAGATTGACAGTCGAAAAGCTGCCTGTTTTTTTTATTCTTTTTCTTTCTCTAACCTATTGCAACCTATCCTAATTTCTTCTTGTCTCGACCCTTAAAGCAACCCGTAATAAAGACTGCTTGTCTTTGGCCATCTCCGACTTGTTTATCACTGGGTGTCTCCGCATCAGGACTTCACGAGACATGCTGCAGTAACATAGCAGCAACATACAGCACGCTAGACCTGCAGCCAACAGCGGTATACAATACCTCCCTATCGCATCCCCTCCGGCTTCAGCCAGTTCTACTTCTTGTTTCGCTTTAGCTTCCTATCCAAGTTCAAGACCAAAACGGATACCTGCTACCCTGCTTTCACACATCTTTGGCTCGGCGACTCGAACTCCTTTTCATATGCGCCCCAGCTAGTTTAACAAGTCTTCGTTGGTGGTGGAGGTCTCACATATCCTCTGCTAGCGATGGATCCCCATTCGCAGGATGGCGATAGCACTGCTACGCCGTCGCCAACGGATACGCGACAACAGCCTGTCCGACGCGAAACCAGGGAATATGGAAACGTGGACGTGTTCCCAGAGAGTTACCAGTCTAATGAGACCGTGCGGAGAAGACCAGACCAATCCTATGGTGAGTTGCTAATATCTACAATCTACTATCTAGCCACGCTTCCCTCCACATAACCTGTCTACTTAGCTTTATAACTCTGACTCCAACGGGGATTGGTCTATGTCCTGCCAGTGCCCCATTAGCAGCGAGCTAGGCTAACCTAACTCCATGACTAGGTACACTTCAGACACCACCACCGCCTACGAGCGGTGGTACACCATACCCAGGGGAATCCACCGCCCACGACCGAACCCACTCCAGGATCGGAGCTCAGCAACCCCGTTCTCCCTTACTAGGTCCAGACAGAGACCGTGGCCGGCAGCGTCCTAGGAAACCCGCTATGCCTCGCAGGGCCTCTTCAAACACCCTGGCTCCCCACCGCGGAGAGATCTTCTCGACAGATGACGATATTACCGAAGTAGAAAGCGATGCTACTGGGCGACAGGCTTTCTCCCCTATGCCATCGTACAATAATGAGTCGGGAAGGCCGGTATCTTCATTACGACGGCGAAGTATGGCCCCACCAGCTTTGTCTCGGGTACACTCGAGCCGTAGCAACGGTCCCGACGAGGAGGGTATTGCCGAGCGGTTAGAAGAAGAAGAGGAGGAGGAGGAGGAGGAAGAACATTTACCTTCCCAGCCTCACGAGGAGGGAGGGCTGCAAGATGAGTCTCCTGATTCCGGCATTCTCGATGACGAAGATGATGATGTCAGTGATGCTGAGAGCTTCACCTTGAAGGATCGTCAACAAGCCATCAATGAGACGCATCCATTCGGTATCAGAATCTGGAAGCCGGCGCTATACAAGAAAGATCGATCAGTCCAGAAGACTGCCGAGGGTGATATTCATTCCTCGCCTGGCGGTAGAGTTAGTCATTGGCTACTGCTTTCTAATATCATCTGGACCTTGGCGTTTGGTTGGTGGATGGCTTTGTTTGCTGCTCTTGGTGCAACGGCCTGCTTCATTTTCGCGGCTACTCCTAGTGGCAGAGAATACGGGCGCGTACTATGGGGCTTGGCCGGATATCTCTTCTATCCCTTCGGGAAGTTCGTTCGACTCGAGCAGGATGAAGCATATCTGGATGAAGATCAAGGTGAGGGTCGAAGCATCAGCGAATACGAACAGTGGCAAAGCGGCGATCTCGAATACGGACGACTATTCTTTGGGCCCGAACGCAATCGATCTATCGTGGGTAGATCAAGGAGAAGTATTGATTCTGAACCTAGCGAGACGGATAGTCTGCTCCCTCGTTCAGGCCGCTATGAACATTCAAGTGATCCGGGACGACGACTGAAGAGACGTCTGTTCGGTCGAGGACAATGGAATATCGGTCGGGTTATATTCTTCGTCTTTTTCTGGGGCCTCATTACGCCCTCTCTGATTACAGTCTCTGCTATCTGTTTCTTCCTGGTCTTTTGGATCCCGATGGGCAAGGTCACCAACCTCCTCTTCGATCATCTTAGAAGACATCCACTCGCACTGTCCTTCAACTCGGATATCATCACTCCTAGGACTTCCGATGGCCCGCACTCATCCATCCTACTTTGCACGTACCGCGCTGTGGGCTCAAAGTATTGGAAGTATACTATCGACGGCACTAACATCTTCCTCATCAATCTCATGGCTGTCGTCATCTTCGTCATCTTCGACTGGCTTG